CACGTCCACGATCATAAACACGGGACTCAAACCCAGGACCTATCGGTTTCGTTTATCTGTTTATTTATTTAAACACATAGATATTGGTACAAGGAGGCGCCAAAAACATATGCGTCAGACAAATCTCAATTGATTTGTGTGAGGGCTGTGATATCGCTCGGGTGCCCAGACCTGGGCAGCTGGTTTTCTTAGAGAGCCACACCAGGAGCCTTCGACATAAAGGTCTAATCCACAAAGTAGTGGAGCAACGTTAGGAGATGCAGTCCCATGGTAGGCAGTGACCAACGATTGGTTCATACACCATTTGTTCCTTCAGGATCCTGGGGCCAATATGAACCATTAGTTTGAAATCACGGTTTTTCAACTGCCATAGATGGATCCTCCGTATCCGCCGAGCCGCTTAAAGTGTAGGACGCTCACTTTTCATCCTCTCAATTTCGTAAACAACATTAGTGCCTCGAGAAGGCAGTGAATAGGATTTCCCTGTCAGTGGTTGTATTGACCTGGTCACTTAAGAGCATTTTGAGAAGAAGCGCTGCCTCTCTCCACTCTCGGCCGTATCAGGGCATTTGGGAAGCATCGGTCTCATAGGCGAACACTTAACCTCTTGACCAGTGATTCGGCATCCAACGATGTTGATGTCTAACTTCAACCAATCCACTTTGAAATTTACTTGTATTGTGTTCCTGAAAATTTATTTTTTCTTTGATTATTTATCATTCGAAGATTATCTACTTCACAGTCACCTGTGATTTACGTAAGATGGGAATAAATAAAACTGAAATGTTTTTCTTGGAATCGTTAAATCATACATAATTATTGGATCACATTGGATCACATGAAGGTGTTCTTGTTTTTTTCCTTTGGGAAATAAACAAAATCATTACGGTAATTCATAAAAAGGTGAAAATATTAAATTCATTTACGAATAATTATATCAGTATTAAGGTTGTGGAGATGATCAAGTTTTTTCGATTGAGATCATGAATCAACTGATGTTAGACCACCATAGAAAGCCTGGAAGCACTAGACGACCGTTTCGTTCTATTGTGGGACTCTTCAGTAGTGCACATCCGCGGTCCTACCTCGCGAGATTTGAAGCTAGAACTTATCGGTCTCATGCGCGTGGACACTTAACCTCTAGACCACTAAGCAGGAACCCGATGATGTTAATGTCTAACTTCAACTAATCCACGAAATCGAACGACACATCCACTATTATCTTCAGTATGTTCCTATCTCACAAAAGAGACCCGATTGCACTTCACTAGTCACTGCTTCTTACTAGAACTCCAGGAAATACTTCTTGGAGACTGTCACTAATGAGCATATGTTGATCAATATCAAAAGGAACTTTTATAAATCTTATAGTAATTTTATTAGTTGAGATCATTCTTAAAATGATGCAATTATCATTCAATGCTATTGATCATACATATCTCATATCTAATATAATTAAAATCCACTGATCAACAACATCATAATAACAAAAGTTTGCCTGCCTTAAAATTAAGAAAATTTAATTTGTAAAAAAAAATAAAAAGAATCTAATAAAGAAAATTTTCAGGGGGGGTAGAGGGTGGGGGTGGGGGTGATTAGAGAACAATAAGACAATGAAATTAATTTTGCCTATCAGAATTATGAATGATAATTGTCCAATTGACAAATATGAAGAAAAAGAAGGTCATAACAACAAAAACTGGATAATAATGAAGAAAACTTATTTAAGGGGCAATAATAATAATAATAATAATAATAATAATAATAATAATAATAATACAACCTACAACATACTACAGAAGGAAATTAGGGACAACGAAAGATAAGAGATAAACAGTCTACCAATTCAAGTCCGAACTCTGTATTCAAAAACGATACATTCAACCTTTTCTCTTTCTTTGACCTTAATTCCCTTTTGTAGCATGTTTTGGTTCTGTTTTTGTTTTAAATTAACATTTTTGTTATTTTATACTATAATCAGTTAATAATAATTTTTATTATTATTATTATTATTATTATTATTATCCTTTAAACAAGTTTTCATGGTTATTATTCAGTGTTTGAATGAGACTATGATTTATGGACGACTATTGAGCGACGTTAAAGAGACTTTGAGAATAAATAGTGGTTGGAGGTAGTCAACAGGAAACACTGAACTTAGGTTTCGTGCTCTTTAGCACTCGTTAGCAGAGATGTACCTGTAATTTTGAGGGAACTGGCGCTGCCTGACGGATTCAATCCTATGTCACCAAGTTTCAAAGTTAGAGACGTTACCACTAGGCCGCGAATGGTCGATAGCATTCCATCTACAGTGAGAAAGATTTGATACATATGACATTGATCACCACCCAGTGATTAATCAATTATGAGAGCTTGAGAATATCCACTTAATAACCAGGATCAAACGAGGGTCATAAACCGGTGTGAGGAATTATAGCTATGATTAGCAGATTAGAGTTAGGGTTAGGAATTAGATATAGGGTTTTCATCATGAACTGACATCAGCTATAATGCCAAAACTCTATTTAGTCAAATATATGAATTAATCCCTCTCCGAAACTCAAGACCTTTTATCCTAAATCTGATTGGTTCGTCCAGTTTTTTTTGGTTAGGACCTTTATATTTTTCTTTTTTTTTCTTCATATCTATCAATTGGACAATTATCTTTCATAATTCTGACATGTAACTTAATTTTATCCTTCTATTGTTCTCTAACCCCCTGATTATTACTCAATCTAAACTGTGTTGTGAACCGGGAAACAAGAAGCCCTGACAAACTACGAAGGCTATTTTTCGGGACGTTATTTCATTTTATTCAAAGCTTGTAAAACACTGACATTTATTTTTGTCCCTAATCTATTCTACAGAACATAAGCTTTCGATTAATGTATCATTCACTGCCATATCTTTTTCTGTTCCGAAGCTATTGTCATTTAAACATATTATTTTGCACCCTATTTCCTACTCTAATTCCCAGCTTTGGACATAATTGTATTTTTCCTAATTATTGTACGTTGCGGTCGGGTTATTCACTTATTTATTCATGTACCTTTTTACACTAAGCCAAAATTCAGTGAATTCAGTGAAGTCAGGAAATCAGAGAAATCAGGAATAGATCGTGTAGTGTTCCGATTGTCTTGTCTTCTCTCATTCGTGTGCTTGCCCATCAATCAGGTGACAGAATAGTTTTCTTCTCTCTACCTCATCTCCAACTGACGCATACTAGTCACAAAGTTAAGCCGATCAGCCTATCGCATCAAGGTCTAAATCTAGATTAGACAAGTATCCTCGGCACCAAAAAGTGGGTAGACAAACCAAGGTCATAACAAACTGATAATTGAAGTCGTGGATGCACACTGCTGAGGAATCCTACAAAAGGATGAAACGGCCATCCAACACTTTCAGGTTTTCCATAATGATCTAGCTTTAATTAACTCATAAATTCGACTAATAAATTACTAAAATCATAACAAAAACCCCTACAAATATTTCCAAGGAAAAACATTTTAATTTAAAGAGTAACTATTCGATGTAATTGAATTTTATTCAACTTGACGTATTGGGGAAAAATGAAAGGTTGACTTAGATGGCACTGTAGCGTTAGTTACTATGTTAAACCCACATGACTTGTTCTAGCTTCTGGACAAACAAACTTATTCATTCTATTTGAATCATGTTTTGACCTTGTTCATTATTCGTTTTGTTCACTTCACTTCACTTCTCCAATTTGTTTCGCTCTGCCTTCTTTGTGTTGCCTCCCTGATTGCCTGTTCAAATTAATGAATGCATGAAATATACATATTTAAAATCCATTCACATATTTCACTTATTTAATTTCGTTATTTACTAACGCCGATTAAATCGATAATAATATACGAGGGTAATCAGGATGTATCTTTCGACAGTAATCATTCAATTACGATCATTTGTTCGATCTAACTGGAGTTAGATCCAAGAGCCTCATTAAAGTGATGAGCCCATTGATAACATCATCCGATCAAAATGAACGGTTTTATTAAAGCAAGATTATTATAAATTAAAATAAATGATGAAGTCTCTGATGGATAAATCCTATATCGATTATCATCATGTTGTAGTTTGAACCATCGTCTTCAACATTGGTTTGAATAATTTTTTCTGGTTAGCGTTTTTTAGCGAGTTAGTTTTCTACGGGATGAGGTCGCTAACCCCATGCCCAACCCTCCTCCTTTATCCGGGCTTGGGACCGGCAGTAGCCCCCGGAAAAGGGCTACAGGCGGAATTTAAAATTGCTGCCCTAAATAGAGCATATTATTTTAGGCTACGGTAAAGTAAAAGCCTGTGTTACAATCTCATTAACTTATTATTACTTAAACAACTTAAGCAAGTAAGGATAATCAATCACATTTTAGAGCACTAAAATCAGTAACCAATTACCCTACAATTGAAATGATTCATCTTGTTTTAGTCTAGCATGATTGTATTTATTCATTTCAACGTTCCACTTCATTATTCACTACAATACAATTTAATTAAATGTGAATTATTAGGAAACGAGAACATCTGACAAACTGGTGACACACTAATATCTCATCATTACGAAACATGTATCCTCTATAACTGAGTTTATAAATGTTACGTAATAGAAGTATATCTCCAATTGATTTGAAATCAATGCCTTCTACCAATAACAGACATCCAATTAAAACATACCTTCAGCTTGATGATCAACACATCAATTCAAATGTCATTGAGTGAAACTAATCCCACTCTAGAATGCACTCTCAATCCACTTAATCAAACTATTCACATGAGTACATTCTGCTTGAGATTCCTCATTTCCATTCAATTATTGTTGGCACAGAATGTTCGATTACACAACTGTAGTTGATCTATGACGTTACAAGTGTCAACTGTGATTCCAATCATCATCATCATCATCATCATCATCATCATCATCATCATCATCATCATCCAAATCAGCATCATCATCATCATCATCATCATCATCATCATCATCATCAATCATCATCATCATCATCATCATCATCATCATCATCATCATCATCATCATCATCATCATCATCATCATCATCATCATCATCATCATCATCATCATCATCATCATCATCATCATCATCATCATCATCATCATCATCATCATCATCATCATCATCATCATCATCATCATCATCATCATCATCAATCATCATCATCATCATCATCATCATCATAATCATCATCATCATCATCATCATCATCATCTCATCATCATCATCATCCAACTCATCATCATCATCATCATCATCATCATCATCATCATCATCATCATCATCATCATCATCATCATCATCATCATCATCATCATCATCATTCATCATCATCATCATCATATCATCATCATCATCATCATCTCATCATCATCATCATCATCATCAATCATCATCATCATCATCATCATCATCCATCATCCTCATCATCATCATCATCATCATCATCATCATCATCATCATCATCATCATCATCAATCTCATCATCATCATCATCATCATCATCATCATCATCATCATCATCATCATCATCATCATCATCATCATCATCACTCATCATCATCTCATCATCATCATCATCATCATCATCATCATCATCAGCACTCATCATCATCATCATCATCATCATCATCATCATCATCATCATCATCATCATCATCATCATCTCATCATCATCATCATCATCATCATCATCATCATCATCATCATCATCATCATCATCATCATCATCATCATCATCATCATCATCATCATCATCATCATCATCATCATCATCATCATCACTCATCATCATCATCATCATCATCATCATCATCATCATATCATCATCATCATCATCATCATCATCATCATCATCATCATCATCATCATCATCATCATCATCATCATCATCATCATCATCATCATCATCATCATCATCATCATCATCATCATCATCATCATCATCATCATCATCATCATCATCATCATCATCATCATCATCATCATCATCATCATCATCATCATCATCATCATCATCATCATCATCATCATCATCATCATCATCATCATCATCATCATCATCATCATTTTCAGTATGACACCATATGATGTACTGCAATTCATTTGAATGTGAATAAATAACATTTCAGAGTAGTCGATCAGTCATAGATATTGTAAATTTCATTCATTACACAAATATTCTCAATTCGCTAACAAACTATGCAATGAACTAATCCTATATAACTGTCTAATCTTCAGTGTTTCTCTCACTAAACATCAGTCATCTGATAAGATTTCATAGTTCGTTATAATAATATACCCTTGTGGGTCAGAGTAATTTTACATTGGATTTTAGCAGAACCACACACCATCTAGTCTTTCACTTGACAACCCAAACAAAACAGCTCAATCCAGTTTAACAAGAGAGTCAGGCACCGCTCAGGCTTACATTTTATAACCCGAGCAGTACAATTCAATCTCACTTCACATGAGAACCACACACCGTGTATAGACTCTAACGCTACAATCTGATTGGTACAGCTCAATCCTATGGTGCAACCACACAACTATCAAGCACCATGGTGATGATAAGATTTACATTCACTTAAATCGATTGGTGAATTGTGCATTTCATAAAACCAACAAACAATATCCATTTCAATTGTGTACACTTCTCAATGGATTCGAATTCATTCACAACACAGTGAATGGCGGATAGTTCGGAGATTTGTTCAGTTAAAATTAACATTTATCAAATGAGTCATAGAGATTTATTGTTTGTTCACATTATCCTATTCTGTGTTCATAATTGTGAAAGGCCAACACCTTCTTTTCATTATGATTACTATGATCATGACCATTGTTATTCGTGTTATCGACTTGAGGTTTTACGAGAAGAAGAATAAGGAGAAATAAACAACCATTTGAAGATGAATATGCTTAGATTTAATGTCTGTGTGTGATAGTGGGGGTGCGTGGTGCTGGTGGTGGTGGTGGTGACATACGGTTTTTGATGAAATAGTCAGACCAAATATACACAAAATGGGATTACATTTCAGTATATTGTAAAGGTCATTCCTAGCAACTGTGAGTTATTTATTTATTTATTTGCATAGTTGTTTTCATATTTAGTGTTCTACAGTTGTAAATTCTATGCTTTGGTTTTGAATTTTTGTTTGAATAAGAATAGAGATCAATTTACGGACTTTCTTAAGTTAACTTGGTGATGTGTTCAACTCATTAAATCTTTTGTGGTATATTATTTAATTTTTCTCTCCGTACGTGGATTATTTTTTTTGGTAATTATATGAATTAGGTAACTTCAGACCACTTACTTAAGTACGCCTGTTACTCTTAGTGGACCATAGGCCTCCGATCATTATTCTCCAGCCCACTCTGTCCTGTTCCTACCTTTCTAGTTCTATCCATTTGTTTTTCATTCTTCTCGTATCTGTCTCCATTTCTCAGCGTAATGTGTTCTTTGGTCTTCCGCGTCTCCTTTGGCTTGGAGAATTTCAAGTGAAGGCTTGCATTGTGACGCATCTGAATGCTTTCTTCAATGTGTATCCTGTCGACTTCCAGCACTTCCACTTCTTCCTTCCTCCGCTTGAATCTGGTTTGTTCTCTCCCACGGTAGGTGGTTGCTGATAGCGTCTAGTCAAGGGTTCCGAACGAACCGTTCTAATACTATACTGTGAGAATCAATATAAATCAGAAATCCCACTTTTATTGAATGTAATATATCATATATCCGAAGGAGTTTTGTGGAAGTCAGTTCACTTTATAGGTTTTGTTTGTTACGAATTGATTTCAGTTGAATTCCTGTTGAAAACCAGCGAACATCGAGGAGCTGTTTCATTCTAGCATGGATGTTCTCAACAAAGATCAATCTATAATGAATATTACCCATAAAATATCATTTCATGGAAGGACTCACATTGGAATATAGAAGCTTTTGTAATTTGCTTACAAATAAAAAAATGTAGAATATATTATATGAAGTATGTACTATAGCAACTCTACTACAACCAACTTCGATTATGGTTGAGCCCTTTTAATAAACTACTTAATAGACAGTTAGCGTTTTTTAAATGGTTTGAATAATTTTTTCTGGTTAGCGTTTCTTAGCCAGTCAGTTTTCTACGGGATAGGGTCGCTAACCTCATGCCCAACCCTCCTCCTTTATACGGACTTGAGACAGGCAATAGCCCCCGGAGGGTCTCCAGGAGGAGTTACGCAATAGACAGTAACAATTCGTATATTTTTTGTGCCGTTATGACCACTAGATCACACGATAGACTCCAGGTAAAACGTTGATTTCTTAAATATTGCTCACTGATTCATTTCCCCCCTCCATAGGTATATGTACTCAAATACTAATATTAGCTTTTGCTTTGCCTTGCTATGCTGTTATGCAATTTGAGTATAAATTTGCCCATGTATATGCTCACACGCATACATATTCGCTTTTGTGTTTTCTAATACGCTCGATGAACTTATAACTTTGTGATCTGCTCTATCGGTTAATAAACTATAGTTGCCGCTTCTTATTGCCTTCTGATTTCAAACGGTTATCGAGGTGATTGATTAACGAAGCAAAGTCACTACAATACAATTATTGCTTTTTTGTTCATATCGTTGGATCTATATTTCATTGTTGATTTCTAAATTAAAATATCATTAAACTACTTCATTATTTCATAACCAGGATATTATTCACTTAGTTGTTGAAGCAATTGTATGAAGAGTACTCTGACTATTCAATTATACAAGGACAATATAAATCATTCAGTAGTTGAGATCATGATTCAATTCAAGCTAGATCACCATGAAAAACCTGGAATCACTGGACGGTCGTTTCCTCCTATTGTGGGACTCCTCATCAGTGAGCATCCATAACACCGCCTCTTGAGATTCGAAGCAAGAACCTATGATTCATTTGATAATGATAATTTGAATGATTCCATCCATTAACTTGAGTTTGTCGTTGTTGTTTTTTTTGTTGGATCACAATCTATCATAAATAACACAATGTGAACAACTAGAGTTGGATAAAATGTAACATGATCAGAAGTTTTCTAAATGATGTCAGTTTGCCAAGATTAATGGACGATAAAATCGATTGTTGGTGTTGTTATTGGTGGTGCTGGTGCTGGTGCTGGTGATGGTGATGGTGGTGTTGGTGGTGGTGTTTTGATATTTTAAGTTGTACTAATTGCTTCTTTTTCTTCTTTTTATTTTCTTACAAAAACAAAAACGGAAGATGATTATGACCAAATTTAATCAAACTGAATAGATCAGATGAGAAGAATGTGAAACGGAAATTTAATTATAGAATCTCGTTTATAACATGGTCATTGAATAACAACACTGAGGTCATTTGTTTGAATCTATCAACCTATCTATCTCTCTCTATATATATATATATATAGAGAGAGAGAGAGTGAAGTCAACTCGTTAAATGGAAAAAAAGAATTTAAGAGAATAGAAATTGTCGAATTGCATTCACTAATTGTGTAACAAATTTAACAAAGTGGCTTATATTGTTCATAACTCAGATACTCTATGAAGTTATTATTATTATTATTTATTTGAACACATAAATATTGGTACAGGGGGGCACCAAATATATATGCGCCACACAAAACAATGATAATTTGAAGAGAAGGAGAAAAGAGAAAAGAAAAAAAAAGTAATGAACGAGGGGAATTATAAAAAAAAGGGAGAGAGAGAGAACAATGATGGGGGAAACGGAAAGGTATAATCAGAAGAGATCTTTCAGTTAAGGAAGATACAACCACTTTTTATGAAGAAAGTAAAAGAAGGTTACAGCAGGATCGCCATTGGCTTCTATTCTGAGCCATAACTGATAACGTCTCTAGCCACTGCGTTACACCGTCTCTCGGACCCCAACCAGGGAGTCATGAAGGACCAACAGAAGCTAGCCCTTTGCAGCTTTATTTCATACCACGACACCATGTCATATACTGAGTCGAAACGGATACAAAAAGTAGAAATAGGAGATAGTGAATAAATGACGTAGTAAATAATAATAATAATAATAATAATAATAATAATAATAATACCAGTCATTTCAATGTTAGTCGGAGAGAAACGAATATTTTCTATAAGCAGATAGTTCATCATAGTTTTAGTGTGTGGGCTGAGATACTGCCCGGGTGCCCAGACCGAAGCAGGTGGTTTTCTTAGGGGGCCACACCCCGAGCCTTTGACCTAAAGGTCTAGTCCACAAGGCAGTGGAGCATCGTGAGGAGATGCAGTCCCATGGAAGCCGGTGACCAAAAGTTGGTTCATACGCCATTTGTTCCTTCAGGATACTGGAGCCC